CGCAAATGCATTTTCGCACAAAATTTAAATATTTTTGTCCTTATTTTATTATAACCTTTGTTTTATCTTTTGACTTTTACATTACTACACTCATGAAGGCGTCCTTATGCACACATCTTATTGTCGAGCCTTATTTGGCCACATTCCAGTGATACTTCTCTCTTGATAATTGCACTTCTGCTTATGTTCAGTCCATCTTTTCGCATTTTATCATTTATTATTTTATCCATGATTTATTGTTCATTTCTTTAATTTATTTTCCATTTGAAAAAAGACAAATCTCTTTCTCATTATAGATCTGTCTTATTACAATTTTAAACATATAGAAAGAATCCTAGATTTGTTGGGAGGGTAAGAAATTGAATCCCCATGCTGAAAGTATCGAGTGGGTCTTACATAATGTCTACTATTTGAGATATCAATTATAAGGCCCAGATGGTAAACAAGGAGATGGAAAACCCTTAATTCATCCTGTCACCAGATAGGAATTGCTTAAGTTCAGAGTAACGCAGTTTTGGAATGAGCATATTTGTTATACGAACTGGGGAAAAGACCAGCGTCATTTAGCAAAATACCTCTACCAAAACACTTTACTTAGGGGTGTGAATACGAGTAAGGGCGATTACTTACTGTAATTAAGGGTAGTAAACCAAACGGTCAGCCAAAGCTACTCCTATGGGAACTCGCTTTGGTAGGGTTATGACTTGTAATATGTAGGCAAACTTAGGGCTGGATTGCACGCTTATTTCCTTCCTATGAGCTAGTATTTCAGTACGTTTATCCACTTTGACTAGAATTGAATTGAGTCTAGCTCCACCATGCATCCCAGTCGACAAATATGGGTTTTTAGACGAAGAGACTTATCTAAAATCCCCGTCTTAGGGAAGATTTTATAGAGATAGGCTTACCTATTGTTTAAGAAGTGTATTCACTCTATGCAGCACAAGGTGATGGAAGACTGATAGTGGAATTTTCACAATCCTATCAGTATCCCCTACGTCCAGATTTTCTGATATCCTCGAAAGCCGTTTGCTATAACTATAGGTAACGTAATGTTGGTTCGACCTTGTTTTCGCAACTTAATAGGAGCGTTATGGAGACATTGTGGAACATATCCAGTCCTTTGTCCTCTACCATAGTACTCGTGATTTCCTGCATTGGCTCATTGATTCGATACGTTCCCAAACGTATCGCCAGTGAGAGGCGTCATTGTCAGCATATATAAAACTTATCAAAGTGACAAGTAAAGGCAATCTCCTTGACCAATTTCATATTCAACTGTTGTGGTATCACTCTTTTCCCATATTTTTTGTTCTACCTTCTAGTGCAGCATCTCTTTCTTTCAAACCCACATCATATGGCCCATTCACTTATTCACGCAATTCTGTGCTCTTGTTTCCTCCAATGCCGCCTCAGAGTGTGTCGCTACAATTGGGTTTAGTGAAGCGTTATCACAACTTCGATGCCAGCAAAACGTTTGGGAATGTACCAAGTCAATGGTCCAATGCTGGAAATCACGAATATTATGACATGGGACACGGGATTAGGTATGTCCCACAAGTTCTCCCTGATGCTTCGACAAAGTTGCAAAAACAAGGTCCAGCCAAGACTATAAAGCTAAATGATATTGCGAACAAACAGAAGGCCACACGACCTTGGTCTTCTTTTCAACGATACCAATCTCGTATTAGATTATATTTATAATAAAAAAATTTGCTTTC